TGAACATGTCTGTTTTATCAAAATGGCGAGAAGTCACATGATTTTCTTGCTGGAAAAAATTGATTAAAGAATAACCACTAATGTTGTCCAAAATGTTTGTTACTTCAACCTTTTTGGCTACATGAAAAATGTGATACAAGAACTGTTTGCCAAAGTGAAAGTTCATTAATAACCAGGGTGCAAAGAAAGTCATCATTACAGCTTGCCATTTGGGCCAGCTAAAGTTAGCATTTCCTAGCTCAAACTTCATTTTAACTGGCCCCCAAAATTTTTTGATGATTTTCGCCTCCTTATTGGTTAGTATTGGCCGGCTACTATGGTTGGCACTTCTTTACAGATGGCATTTTTAAGTAAATTATCCCTGGACTGACCGCTGACTTCGACATCTCAGCTGTCTATTCCAAACCTTTCTGATTGCACATTTCTTCTATAAGTAGAATTCCTCAAAATGCCCATTGGGCAGGTTAATAACAGAATTCACTAGATCGATAGCAAAACTCACTAGCCACCGGTTATCGGACAGTACTTTCTTTGCATGCTGATTACTTGCATTGTACTTTTACAGACAATTAGTTCAAAATTATTATGGATGCTTGCTGGTTGTAACTGAAAAAATGGCGTCTTTTCTTCCTACCTCATGACAAATTTGTGGGGGGGGGGGGAACATTACTCAGGCTATCAAGGAATTTGGGTTTTCTCCGCAATGCTGCGCTTTTTGTAACTTAAACCAGTGATATTTATTACATTGATATAGTAGCTATTTCTATTGACATTGGTATCTTTTATTATTGTTAAATTTTTCTTACGTTTTGGATTCTATATTAATAATAATTTATTATGTAATGTTTTGATTTAATTTAGATATTCAAAGATATTAGAACCATTTTGCTTTCGCAAATTCAAATTCTAATAAAGTTTATTGTATTAATGTATTGTATGCAGAGGATTTTTTTTCTCAACTATCCGAAAGCAGTGAAGCCACCATTAAGCGGACACCTTGGGGACCTTCCCAAGTGTTCATGTTGTCAAGGAAGCTGTGCTGTACTTTTTGCAAGACTTTTCGGTGAACCTTTGACAGCTAAATGTATTGATTTATTCAAATTAATTAATTCAGTACATTTTCAAGGACGTAAGCCAATGTTACGAGTACTATTGACAATTCAATCTGGTGTCCGCTTAATAGAGGTTTTTAACAATAAAAATTAGCCAAATACAATTTATTTTAGTGTCCGCATCCACTTAATAGAGGTGTCCGCTGGATAAGGGTTCGTTTCTTTCTTAATGGCGGGTGTTGGCTTAATAGAGGTTTCACAGCACATGCATTGATTTTCCAAGTAAATATTATCCACAGTTCTACAGTCAAGGCAGGACAAGGGTAAAACCCAAGATTCTAGTCGCACCCCTAACTGGTGTCAAATTCAATTTGGCATTCTGCATGCATAATGAGCAGTGAATATGTTACAGGGAATAGTTGCAGGGAATAGGAATAATGATTTTCACTTTTACCAAAGTGAGAGCGAGCAAGTTGGACAATCTGAGAATAAGGAATTCAGAACAAGACTGGCGCGACATCTGATTCACTCGGGGTACCGTGTGTTATCATAATGACCATAATGTAAGCATTTGGTTTGGTACACGAGAAGAGCACTTGGGAACAGCGATGCACTCCACAAGCTGAAGGCCTGGAACAGGCTAAGCGCTGCTTGAATCACCTGGTGCTCCAATATTGAATAATGCCACAGCCCCTGCTGAACTTAACTTTACGTTTTTGCATGATTACATCTGCCGTAACAAACTGATTCAGATGATGCTCTTGTGCTGTACTTAATAGACCTTTACCTAATAGACCTTTACATGATTTATGACGCCATCTTGGCTGGGTGGCAAACATGGCTAACATTGCAGTGAATGTGTGGGATTTTGGCCCACTTGAAACTTTTGTAATGCTGCTACATAAAAGGCGGATTTCCACAGCAAAAAAATATTTTAAGACTATTTTTGAGATTATTTTCATAAAGTATAAAGAAGAGATTCTGGCTATAACGACAGTAAACGAATTTTTAAGATTTCAGACAAAACCCATTATGCAAATCAACATTATACAAATTACCATGAAATTAGAAGCCACCTGGGAAGATCAAAATATAATTCAAATTTACGGACGTCGTACCTTCTTTTTGCTTTATTTTCTGTGAAATGAATGATATCAATAATACTATTTACAGTAGTGGTAAATGTTGAAAATCCGCCTCTTCTTGGCGGCATTATAGCGGTTCCTAATTTTTGCTGTGTTTGCCCCAAGCCAAGATGGCCTAATAAAGCGTGAAAAGGAGAGTTGATCGGCGTCTGAACTACACATCAAAAGTCGGCTATGCTACGATAATTTGATATGCTTTTGATAAGCTTTATGCTTCATCGAGAAGCCCAAATGCTTGAAGAGAAGCCGGAAAACCTGACCCAACTGTGATTAGAGAAGAGTCACAAATCGCGAAAACAAACTCACAATAAAGCACAATGGAAGTCCAGTAGCTTTCAATTCACTGACCACCACGAAAGGTCTGGGCTCGTACGGTATAAACTCTTCAGCCCGTAATGATATCGTTGATATCGTCATAAGGTCATAATTGTTTCCGGAATGATAGCGAAAACTTCAGATGGGGTCACTGCCTTGCGGTGGAGTGTGTGCACAACGACATCATCACATGGTTGGAAGACAAAAACAAAAAAGGCCTAGAGTTAAAAAGCGATTTGCAAGTGCAGAGCCGAATGGTTCTGTCGCGTTGCGCATGTCCAGTGTCATGTGATGTGTGAGGCGTCACAAAATCTCGCTTCATTTACATCACGCCTAAATCGGGTACCAGATGTAAGTTTCAGTCCCGTTGATTTGGTTTTGCTCTGGCTGAGAAATTGTACGCGAACAGTGGTGTGATTCCCATTATTTATGCTGTTTTGGGCATCATATATTGTTTCTCCTTCGATTATGCCTTGATTCGATGACTGAAATCCCTGTGATATAATCTATAGTGTATAGAGTATTAAACTTTCATATTCGCCCTTTACTTTCAGTAAAAACTCAAGACACAGAAGTCCTCGTAAGGGCTAAAAGTTATAAATCCCAGCGGAAAAATGAGGAGCCATGGAGGTTACAGGTATTGTCACTGCCTTATTGTTTCGTCTGAGCTCAAACCAATCTAGGAAAAATATCTTAAGTGTACTTTCTGGTTTCTGTTTGTCTGTTTGTTTGTTCTTTTTTTTACAGTTAGTTTGTTACTGTTTATTGATTTGCTGGGCACTATTTAAAAAAATGTGATTGAGTAAAGAATAAAAATAAGAACGTTTCGCACACATTGCAAATCAGATATAAATACATATCAATTGTTTCTTTAGGTGAGAATATCAAGGGATGCAGAAGTTAAAATAACCAGTACCTCATGCAACTGTGAGGCAGGAGCAGGTCTCTTCTGGCTGCCTCTCCAGATCGAAGGGTCTATGATCCCTCTGAAAACAGTCCCTGGGGGCTGTTGGAAATCAAGTGCCCTATTAAGGATTCAATCTCTCAGCTGCCATATCTGAAATGTGTAAATGGAATTTATAAACTTAAAAAAGCACATAGCTATTACTACCAGATAATGGGACAGATGTTGTTGACAGGTTGTGAATGGGTAGATTTTTATGTTTATTGTAAATCTGACTTTCATTTAGAAAGAGTGAGGTTTGATGCAGAATTTTGTGCAACGATGAAGATGAAATTAGACACGTTTTACTTTGAATACCTCCTCCCTGAACTGTTAAAAAAAGCAGGGGCTTAACCTGCCTTTTGAAGCACTGTTAAAAATAATGTCGAACCTGCACCCCAAATTTCCATCTCCGTAGTGGAAGAGGTGTAAATATGTAATTATTTTCTGGAATCACACAAATTGTAAACAAGTTTCCATAGTTAACTGTTACAACTGACATTACTGAACCGAGCTTTGCCAAGGAATGTGTAGTTTCTGAGAATGTCCATACTCTTCCCATAGAAGGGATTTGTAAATGCCTGGAGATGAAGGGGATGCAGGGCGGGGGGGGAGGCATTTTTTTCAGAGGGTGGGAGATGGAAGTGGGTCTAAAAAAAATCTCCTTTGTGAGGGAGGTATGGATAATTCAAAGATCTAAACAATACTGACAAGCAAGTTATAGTTTCAATATAGTGGACCTCGAAAGTTTGTAAGAAGACAGCAAACCGTCCAAATTTGGTTTACCGAACCAGCCAACGAAAGTGGCAAAACTTTGTCAAAAATTTGATATTCTTTGATTCGTCTGATTGCTCGCTCAACATGTATACGAAGGCGGGCAATCTGTTGTGTTTCTGTTACTTCTTTGGAGGTGAACTGCATAGACCTTGTTTTAGACAAGAAAGGAGGGATTGTCAATGTAGCTTTTTTGGGTTCTAATAAATCCTGAATCAGGAAACCCTTATCTGCCATGACCTCGTCTCCTTCTTGGATTAGTGACAGAATACCACTGCGTCTTGTAATCTCTTTGTCTGATATACTTCCCTGATATAGGGAACTTATAAATGTTACAGCGCCATGAGGAGCAATACCAACTAGGCATTTTAAGGTGGTATGCGACTTGTATGCTGAGTAAAATTCTGAGTTTAGAACCTTGGAGCTAGGCCTTTGGACCTTGATTTCGGTACAGTCTAAAATGACTCTTGTTTTAGGGTATATGGTTTTGAAACACTCAGGCATACTATTTTTTTATCTGAGCAGTTGTAGGCCAAATTGGCACTTGGCCAAGCATTTTATACAGAAAATTTGCCCAAGTTAAAATAATTCTGCTAACAGAACTCTTGCTAATATTGAATCTTACTCCCAAGTCTGTCTCCAGTAATCCTAATCTTAGTCTGATCATAAATAAAAAAAATTGGTCATAGAGTGACAATGCCAAATTTCCACAGCTACGCCTTCTCTTGTAGTTTTCTTTGCCTCGTTGACGCTGAATCTGGGACCATTTTATCATAGTTTTTGCATATGGTTCAACCCAGCCATAAAAGCTATCGAATCGTTCTTTTGATACAAAGCCTGTGTAAAATGACAGCAATTCAGGATCCTTGGAAATATTTTCAGCTCCAAACCTGGATCCTTTGAGATCTTCCACCTCTTCCTCGAAATCTTGGCTTTAAGGATTTCAATTTGTTCCTCTGCACTCAGTTCGGCAGGTTGAATGTTTTCGTTTTCCAGTTCAGCATTCATTTCTTCCATTGGCTCAGCGCCAGCACTGGCTTCCTGCACTGTCACTTGTTCAGTCACTTGCTTTAATTCAACATCCTGGCAGAATGAATCGACAATTGATTGTCGTCGCTCCTCCTGTGCTTGCATTTCGTTTATTTCTTTTAAATTTTGTAGTTTATTTTTGGAGCGTTCGTTGCAGGCCTTGGTCCATTGAAACTGAGATGGCACAGCTCCTGCTTTAAGGCGTGTTCTCCCTGTTATACTTTTAAACATATCACTTGGCTTGAAGTGAGCAGAACACACTAGAGTACAGCCTTTCTTGATCTAGGAAACAAAGTTTAAAACTCCAAATTAAAATGCTGATAACAAGTGAGATTCTCGTAGAATATTACTGACCACATTCGAGTCAATGAAAACAAACAAACCGGTTACACGTGCGTTTGACAGCTTTGGCCAAAAGCGCTTGAATCTAATATTCTAGGTTCGATAAATTGACTGCACATTTTGTCTGGATATGTATTGAGTAATTATTTCTGGAATAAGAAGCGGACCAAATGAGTCTTAAATCGAAAAACTCCAGGAGAATCTCAGAATATTAATGACCATATTCAAGTCAATGAAAACAAACAAACCAGTTCCACGTGCGTTTAAATTGACAGCTTCGGCCAAAAGCGCTTGAATCTAATGGTTGAGGTTAATTAATTGACTGGATTTTATCAGGATATGTATTGAGTAATTATTTCATGAATAAGGAGTGGGCTAACTGAGTCTTAAATTTAAAAATTTTCAATATCGGCAACAAATAAAACTCTTGCGTTTGACAGCTCGCTGGTCGCGGCTCGTCACATGTCACACTAACCTCAAAATGTGGTCCTTCATCTCGCTTTATTGCGGCAATCCACTGCGATCCCTGTGTTTTGTTTGAGGGAAAGTTAAAAAACGACAAATCCTTTCCACTTTCGTTGCGTTTGTCGTTAGTACAGCAATTTACAGAACAATGATCGTTTGCCATATTTGTATATGGTATCTCCACTCAAAGCCCTTGTATATACAGCCCTTCAAATGCCGGCATGCCCGTCCAGCCTCGCTTTGGTGCAGCGCGCAATCCAAGATGGCGGAAAGTGATATCGGAGTATTGACGACTGTCATGTGGGTCGGCTTTTTGCCTCTCTGATGCGTTGCGTCATTCTTCCAAGCGCTCAGAGAGCTGAAGCTGCAGCTTACAGTCTGTATTACATTCTGATCGCAGCTGGCTATTTCATTAATACTGACAAGTCGCAGCACGTTCCTTCTACGGTGGTCTGTTTTTTGGGTTTTTTATGCGATTCTATGCGCCAGGCTTTTCCTATTCCCCAGGATAAGAAGACCAAGTTCGCAGCCTTGCGGGAAAGTATTTTGTCATCCTCCTGTGTCAGTCTTAAAACGCTGTAACGTTTCGCTGGCAAGGTCGTTTCTTTTAGTTTAGCCATCCCTGGTTGCAAGCTTTACGTCCGCGAAGTCTTTAACACAATAGCCCAGCTTACGCGTTCCTCCAAGGCTGCTGCTAAAGTCCAAGGAAGACTCCGCTTTGATGTCGCGTACTGGCGCTTTTTAGACGATTGGTGAGATTGCTTGCCTTGGAGGTCAGAGCAACATTGTATAGTCTCCCTGTTCTCTGATGCCTCTAAACGCTCGTGGGGTGGAGTTCTTTTTAAGGACGGGAGAAGGATCGAGTCCAGAGACTATTGGATGGATGTTTCGGATGATATTAACTCTCTCGAGGCGAAGGCTTTGGTACGCTCACTCTTGGCTTTC